GTGCTGCCAGCTTCTGCATGGGTCACAGGGTCACTTGCTAAATGGAACAAGTCAGTTGCAAGTAGACTTCCCTAAGTATTAACAAGTTTTTGGTGGCCAATATCTGGAACGCCATTGCCTGCGAAAGTGTGTACCCGACAACCTCTTCGTGTTTCGCTGGTTTGACACAAGTTACTTGGTCAAAAAGCCTGGTTTCAATGTCCAAAACTGGATCAGAAGCACAAACAGTAGGGCATTCCACATCACAAAAAGTAGGGCATTCCACATCAAAAACACAAAAGTCCACCTGCCCAAGGATTTCAACATCCATTTCAGGAGGCGACCGTGTCATTTCCCCTGACTTGTAGCCACCTTTCAGAGCGACACATCTGCCAGAGCTGGGGATATGCATGGGGCGCATGGGAGGTTTGATGGCGTTTCTTGTGGTTGGTGAGGAATCCCCTCCTCCGACAATCATCAGCAATCATGGAATACTATGGACAGCCCCTGTTGAAACAGTCTGCCGAAGAGCCGTGCTCCACTTCAATCGTTGTTGGAGGGGTACATGAATTCTTACCCACACACTTCAGTCATCTTCAGTCCATGTACGGAAAAAAAGAACAACAATATACTAATTATATACTGTATGCTGCATGTATAATATGTGTTTTTAGGGTTACATGGTCGACCCCAGGTGGTTGACCTACCCCACCCCATGACCATGCGTCAGTCCCAAAACCCTGTCATGTCGATGAAAAAAAATGCCTCATCGTCGCATGAGCTCGAGACGACCAAGACGACCAAACGAGACGACCTGTCTGACCCGTCGACCAGCCTCTCGAACCCGTGGGCTCAGAAACAACATCCCATCGTCGGAGTCCGAAGAAACACGTCTCGAAGAAACGCTAGAGAAAACAAAAAAAAAAACATCGACAACCACACAACCACCGAGAAAGACAAAAACATCGACAACCACACAACCACCACGCAATCGGAATGCATTCGTTCCCACAGGCAATCAGCCACACAAGTCCATCGACAAAACGTCAAGAGAGATAGCTGTCTTGGAGATGTACCGGGTCTTAGACAAAACAACCACCTTCATCACCAAGCCCAAGTGCAACCACCCGGTGCTCACCACCTTCAGTGCACCAAGCTGCAACCACCTTCATCTTTGCGAGGTCTCAGTGTCGCAGCCAAGATGTCTCAGCTTCAGGAATCGCACGAGTCACTTGGGAGGAAATGAAGCCAACGACCATCAATCGAGGTTTATACATTGGGTATGGGTCAAAGCTCATCAGGAATAGGGCAGGTGAAGTGTGAACTCTATCATATATTGATTCTATGTCAAGGGCGTCTGCGGCGTCTTCTATGCATCGTTTCCATGCGTGTTTTATTGGAGGTGATACGTACCGTTTCCGTGCTTGGTCTTTCGGGTCCGGGGTTTCTCCATGTGGACGGCTCTCACTGGAAAACCTTGGCTCTAAACCCCCATGTTATTGCCTGGTTGCTGATCACCCCAAGGGGAATATATGATGGCCATCCGCTGCTCAGTTGCACAGCCCTGAACCTCCAGCCAAAACAGTTCATTCATGTGTTAGATACACTGACATTGAAAACACAAGCCAAAATCCTAACTGGTGGTCCCCTTTTGGCCATGTCGTCCACAAAACCTCCCCAAATACTACCATGATGTCTTCATCGGAGTGTAATCCAAAATCAGCACTGATAACTTCCTACTCCATTGCTTCGGGCCGCCCGACGTTTTGTGGCACTTTGGCCACAAATGTGCTAAGCATCAACAGAGGCTCTTTGGCCATGCATAGATTGGGTTGGTTGGCATGTATAGATTGGGTTGGGTCCACCTCGGAGGATGGAAGTCAATACAAAGTACATGTGATTGAGGACTCTTTGCAAGCGTAATTGCAAGATGCAGTTGTTGTGAGCTCACTGCAGTTCAATGATTTATGCAATGGCCTCTTGTCCTGTAAAGACACAATCCTTCGAAGCTAGAATATCTCCAGTGACTCCAGTGTGTTCTTCGCTTTTCCCTTTCTTCCCACAGCTGCTGCTTGGCCCCAAAAATTTGAGCTGCCTGTAAGTGGGAAACCATCCCTCGCCGACAATGGGAGTTGTTACTGGGTGTAGGAATGATGTCCTCAGCGGCACTAGGCCACTACTCCAAGTGTTTCAGCGACGGATACCTTGGGATTTGCGGCTCCCAGGGGTTCCTGGAAAAACAAGATATTTACCAGGTTTTCCGATGGTTTGGGGATTTACCCAGTGGAAAATCGAACATCACCTGATCAGCAAAAACAGGTAATATAGGAGGTCCTTGAAACATTTTAACATGTCAAATTGTCGATCTTCAATATGTCACATGATCGTAGACACGTTCATCAGGTAGACAAAATGACACAAACATACTATCTTTTCTCATGGGATTTCCCCGTGAGATCTTGCCCATACTTTGGGTATGTCATATTTCCCATTCCCAGCGCCCGTTGTGGATGATGCGGCCCGAAAAAAGTCAGGCGGCCGACGCCCTTCGTGGTCATCGGACTTGGACTCCCAAACGCCATGAACACCGAGAGAAACGAATCCCACCTTCGTTGGGCCCAAGGAATTCCAGTTTGACACACTGCGTGAATGCACAGGAGATATCACAAAACTACAAAAACATCAATGCTTAATGGAAGAGATCATATCCTTAGGACACGCCACGCGGCGTGTTGGGTGGTTTTGCTCTTAATGTCCCGGTTGGAACTCCAACTACCTGCGGTCTTTTGGTGTAAACAAAGCTTTAGACCGTCCAACTGCCCTCCGGAAAGACGAACGGAGCCCGCCCCGCGTCGTCCGAAGTGGCTGCCTCCTGGCCTCCTTGGGTACGGTAGTGAACACCTTCAAACCCACCTCAAACACCTTCTCAAAGGAAAAAGGGTTTCCCCTGAACAAAAAGGTTAGCCAAACTGTCCATCTGTTCATATTTATTGGGTTGCCACCAATCCCCCAGAAAAAAAGGTGACCTGCAGGTGATCCACGAAACCTGGGTACGGGTAGGTTCTCAAGGGAAGGCCTATATATACAAATCCAAGAAACCAATTTGCCATCATGTCTCCCAGTCCTGTCCCGTCCGCTCAATTTCGGGTACTTTTCTCATGGAAGAGCCCACCTCCTTCTGGAGCCGCCACCTGTTCCACCCCAAAGACATGTCGCGATCCCTTGCTTTTTGGATCGGGCCACGGCCGGCCCGGCGCGTCATTGGCAAAGCATGGTGGAGATCCAGTCTCAACTGGTCAGGTCGCTAAAAAGCTGTAGAGTCCTCCAATCTCAAAGAAACATTTTACATATTGGCTGTGTGTTTGGAATAGGGATACCACCAACCAATAGCTTTTAGTCTATGTTTTTTACATATTGGCTGTGCACATATTTTAAATAGGAAGACCTCCTGGCCCCAGACGATGTTCCATCTTTTCAGGGTTTCCGTTGCCTGGGAGGTCTCCCCTCCCTGTATTCATATCAATACACAAACCACATGGCTACAGTATCTTTGGCTATCTCTCGTGACCCCAAAAGCCACGCTCCAACTTCATGGATCTGTCTCAACGAAGGAACATCTTCTCCCATGGAAGTCGTTTCTCGTTTTTTTTGTATTGTTTTGTTGGAGCGACGACGGAGCGGGGTCCCTCGAGTGAAGCAAATTTGAGCCGAACTGAGGTTCCCCTTTCCAGGAGGCTCCAAACATCGAAGATCGGGTTCGACACGACATGACTCAAACCTTCGTACCAGGACCTTCAAAGTGACCGAACTTGAGATCCCAGTTTGAGGTCACTTAGTCCATAAAGAGGTCACTTACAGACTCCAAAGAGGTCACTTTGAAGATCCTGGTATCTAGAGCCTCATCTCTCCCATATCTCTCAAGAACAGCTTGCTGTGATTCTCCTCCACATCAACAGCTATAGATCCTCTCTCCAGACCGCCAAATCATCTTGGTGGCGAGCGAATCGCTGGTGTGAATTCCAGTCCCGCTTGATGCTTCTCTTGGATTTGCGACTCCCAGGAACCTGGAAATAACAACACATTCCTCAGTTTTGATGATTTAACCATGCGGAAAATAACACATCATCTTAAGCAAAACCAGGAAAGCCTTGAACTGTTTCCTGTACCTTCACCTATCCGAAAGCTGTCACCAAGAGCGTCCAAAGGTGTGTGTGTGTCCGTTTTTGCATCGATATTGTCGCTGTTGGATTTTTCGAGAACCAGGAAGGAATGAAAAACATATGATGCCTTCCACTTCCCCAAAGTTTTGGTTGACAGCAATTCCCATGTCCAAAATGCGGCGGTTCCAACTATGAAAACAATCTCTCTCACCAAACATCCTTTAGGTAGCCAAAATATTTGTCCACATGTGGAGGACATGTACAATACAACAAATGATGTCCAACTACCAATCCAAGGAGAAGAGACTTGATCTCCACCCAATCCTCACAGCGCCGAATTGCGCGTGAAAACGATCTGCTGTTGATGGCCAGTCTGTTTTCTCCTGGTATTTGAACCAATTAATGGACAAGCGCTGATGCAGTCTCAATGCGTGAGAATCACTGTGTTGCTGCTGAAGAAAAAGCTCTCCTGTTCCACCTAGAACCAGCAACAAGTGGATATTCTGCAATATTGTAGTGTCATTATATATATATACACAAAAAAATGTAGATTTCAATAGTGGGCTGCCTACAGTAGGCTCGGGCCAGACTTCCATGAAGACAAAGCCTTACCTGATGTCCAACACATCCATGTTACACCCGAACTCGGGAGGACTCAGTCGTATTCGCCTTCTATTCGGCTCAGGTGTTGGGACCCTTCGAGCAGGTACAGTGGATCCATCGACAGTTGGTTGAAACATATCCCTAGGGCTCCAACTACCTCCTGAGAAGGTGGTTAGGGTCCCTAGGGTGGCTTGGGGGGTTCTAACCATCTTCTGAGGATATGGTTGGAGCCCTAGGGTATAATTCTGGTTCCCTCAGTTGCCCACAAGAATAAAGGTTTCACCGAACGAACTGCATTCTGTTCATCGACACCGTGGGTTACCACCAAAGGTGACCTGCAGGAACCACCACGAACGGAACCTACGAACCACCTGGGTAAGTCAGAATGACTCCCACCGCCCTGCAGAGTCCTTACTCTCCTTTCGTTACATCGGAGACGCTGCACACAGCATCGACGCGTGGAGTGCGTTTGACTGGTGACGAGGTTCGCGCCAACAGGTTGAAGCGTTACTGCCAGACTTCGGGGAGATGGTGTCGAAATACTCCATCTGGTGCAGTTGTATTCCCAGACGCTCCATGTATGCAATATATGCCTACATTGGGTTGGTTTTGGGGGTCAATGTAGGCATAATATGGCATACATGGAGCGTCTGGGATTGATTATTCTTTCAACATTCTAGTTCTGTGAACTCGTGGCCTCTAGTACTACTGAATCACGATCAGCACTGGCCGCCCTGCGCTCGCAATCACTTCCACACTTTTAATGGAAGCAATGCAAAACAACTCGCATGTGGTGGTCTACTGCTGGAACATACTGCACTGGAATGAAGCCAAGCTTCCTGATCCTCTCCTTGTTCGGATATGCAAACACGAACATCCGGATTGGCCCTTTTGGAGTGGCCTTTTTGGACGACCGCCAGTAACGCCCGAGCGAGTAAGCCGTAAGCAGTTTCACCGAGCTGTGATCAATGAGCTATCGACGGGTTTGTCTATCAAACGACCGGTTGTAGGCATCACCTGGACCTGGACCACGAGTCCAAGGTGCCTAGACTATGCACAAAATCCAGGCTCCAAATCATTCTTCAGGAGGAGTGCAAAGTGTGTCGAAAGCAACGCATGTTCCATCTTTGACCTAAAAAAGTGACCAAACTTGAAATTTCTGTGGCTGAGCATGTCCTACTCCATGTCCTACTAGAGATCACGACAAAATCACGGATCGACTCTTCGGGAGTCATGGATGGCTCAGGTCCTGGTAGCTTTTATCTAACAAAAACACATACTGCCAGGAGTCACAAAAGGATGCCTCTTGGAGGATAGGGGTGCCCAGAACATCCACTCACTTAGGGGCTAAACACCACCCCTTTGTGACCCCTGGTGTATGAATCTGTATATGGTGATAGTTCCCAGGT